TAAAAATGTAATGAATAAATTTGATCTTTAATTTAAAGTATTTACACTAGTAGATACCACAAAAACTTATTTTATACTTAATAGAAGTATAATATTAACTTTAAGTGTTTGTTTAATCTATTGTTTTGACGCAATATGCATTCTACGAAACTTTTTTTCAACGATCCAACCATCAAAACTTTATTTGTACACATTCCGAGATCGCATACATAAAAAAATCGTAAAAAAACAAACATTCAGAGATTACGTAACGGAACAAAAAATTTTCGACGGTTATAAACGAAAAATCACAATTTAACGGTTATTTTAGCTCCGATTTTGATGATTTTTTACAGATACACTCCTCGACCCTATAAGAATGTAATGAATAAATTTGATCTTTAATTTAAAGTATTTACACTAGTAGATACCACAAAAACTTATTTTATACTTAATAGAAGTATAATATTAACTCTAAGTGTTTGTTTAATCTACTGTTTTGACGCAATATGCATTCTACGAAACTTTTTTCAACGATCCAACCGTCAAACTTATTTGTACACATTCTGAGATCGCATACATAAAAAATCGTAAAAAACAAACATTCAGAGATTACATAACGGAACAAAAGTTTTCGACGGCTATAAACGAAAAATCACAATTTAACGGTTATTTTAGCTCCGATTTTGATGATTTTTTTACAGATACACTCCTCGACCCTATAAGAATGTAATGAATAAATCTGATCTTTAATTTAAAGTATTTACACTAATGGATACCACAAAATCTTTTTTTTATACTTAATAGAAGTATAATATTAACTTTAAGTGTTTGTTTAATCTACTATTTTGACGCAATATGCATTCTACGAAACGTTTTTTAACGATCCAACCGTCAAACTTATTTGTACAAATTCCAAGATTTCATACGTAAAAAATTGTAAAAAACAAACATTCAGAGATTATGTAACGGAACAAAGGTTATCAACGGTTATAAACAAACAATCACAATTTAACGGTTATTTTAGCTCCGATTTTGATGATTTTTTACAGATACACTCCTCGACCCTATATGAATGTAATGAATAAATTTGATCTTTAATTTAAAGTATTTACACTAGTGGATACCACAAAAACTTATTTTATACTTAATAGAAGTATAATATTAACTCTTAAGTGTTTGTTTAATCTACCGTTTTGACACAAAATGCATTCTACAAAAAAAATTTCAACAATCCAACCGTCAAAATTATTTGTACACATTCCGAGATTGCATACGTAAAAAATCATAAAAAATAAAGATTCAGAGATTACGTAATGGAACAAAAGTGTTCGACGGTTATAAATGAAAAATCACAATTTAACGGTTATTTTAGCTCCGATTTTGATGATTTTTTACAGATACACTCCTCGACCCTGTAAGAATGTAATGAATAAATTTGATCTTTAATTTAAAGTATTTACACTAGTGGATACCACAAAAACTTATTTTATACTTGATAGAAGTATAATATTAACTCTAAGTGTTTGTTTAATCTACTGTTTTGACGCAATATGCATTCTACGAAACTTTTTTCAACGATCCAACTGTCAAACTTATTTATACACATTCCGAGATCGCATACGTAAAAAATTGTTAAAAACAAACATTCAGAGATTACGTAACGGAACAAAAGTTTTCGACAGTTATAAACGAAAAATCACAATTTAACGGTTATTTTAGCTCCGATTTTGATGATTTTTTACAGATACACTCCTCGACCCTATAAGAATGTAATGAATAAATTTGATCTTTAATTTAAAGTATTTACACTAGTGGATACCACAAAATCTTTTTTTATACTTAATAGAAGTATAATATTAACTTTAAGTGTTTGTTTAATCTACTATTTTGACGCAATATGCATTCTACGAAACGTTTTTTAACGATCTAACCGTCAAACTTATTTGTACGCATTCCAAAATTGCATACATAAAAAATCGTGAAAAACAAACATTCAGAGATTACGTAACGGAACAAAAGTTATCAACGGTTATAAACGAAAAATCACAATTTAACGGTTATTTTAGCTCCGATTTTTATGATTCTTTACAAATACACTCCTCGACCCTGTAAGAATGTAATAAATAAATTTGATCTTTAATTTAAAGTATTTACACTAGTGGATACCACAAAACTTATTTTATACTTAATAGAAGTATAATATTAACTATAAGTGTTTGTTTAATCTACCGTTTTGATGCAATATGCATTCTACGAAACTTTTTTTAACGATCCAACCGTCAAACTTATTTGTACACATTCTGAGATTGCAAACATAAAAAATTGTAAAAAACAAACATTCAGAGATTACGTAACGGAACAAAAGTTTTCGACGGTTATAAACGAAAAATCACAATTTAACGGTTATTTTAGCTCCGATTTTGATGATTTTGTACATATACACTCCTCGACCCTATAAGAATGTAATGAATAAATTTGATCTTTAATTTAAAGTATTTACATTTTTTATATATGAGTGATTGTATATATATTTTTTTACATTTTTTACACTTCTACAATAATTATTATTAATTTTATTAATTTTTCCCTCAAATAAAAAACATTATTCATGAGGGTTTGAAGGATTTAAAAATCTAAACGATAATATAAGTGTAACAATTATCTATTCGTGAAGGAATAATGATAAATCACGAGTGTTTATATATTCTTTCACATTTTTCATACTTGTATGTATGTCTTCTTAGTTCTTGCATATACAAATACTATACTAATATATTTTAATTTTGGACAAGAATATGTTATGTAAAATTTATCCTAGTAATGATAATAAGGAACTCTCATAATAAAAATAAATAATGACTAAAACTTTTTTTTATTTTTTTATAATTTATATAGAACAATAATACAAAACTATATATTTAATATAGAATATATTGTATATATTAATATGACTATTGTATTTTATAATAAATCTTTTAGTAATTAAACTTTAAAATTATTAAAATAATTTTTTTCTTAACGGGTCGAAACGGGTTACCCACGTGTTACCCGCGTGTATACCTGTTAAGAACCCGTTATTAACGGGTTCTTAACGGCTCACCCGATAGTGACCCGATAAGTTATCGTGTTGACCTGAAACCCATTATTTTCGTGTCGTTTTCGTGTCGTGTCACCGTGTCGTGTCAAAAACTGCCAGGTCTAAGACTAAGGGCTCATCCCCTTTTACATAAATCATGAGCTCAATGTCTAGAAGCCCAAATAACGAGGCCCAATATAATATAGTACCAATAAATACCATTTTTGGATCCTAATTTTTTGTAGTAATCCTAAAACTAGGTTTTCTGTTGGATTTTCTATGGACTTGGATTCTGATTCTTGGTTTGAGGAAGAACTATTTTGTTCTTCATCATTATTGCTAAGGAGTGCTTGTGTTTAGATACCAATGAGATGTGAGTGAATTTCTATGTTTTCAGATTTTAAGGACTTAATTTCTTCCTTAATTTTGTTGACTTCTCTTTGTAGGTCTTTGACCGTAATTTCTTTCTTAGCCTTATTAAACCTTTCTAGAGTTGTGCTAAGACAAATTTTTGGGGTTACTTGTGGTTGACTAGTACTGGCTTCTTCTTGGGAGACTAGCTTCTTAAACTTTTTTAAATAAAATGATTTTTACTCCGGGTCATCTACTTTATTGATTAACTCAATAAGAAGATCCTCTTGTTCTTCTTGTTTATTAAGGACTGGAATCTTTTTACAACAAGCATATGTACACCCTATCTTAATGTAGGGGAATGAAAGACTACCTGAATAATTACTGGAAGAAGACGAATTAGAACCTAAATCATCTTTGGATTGACTATGGTCTATGTCTCTTAATTCTAAGACTTGGATTAGCTAGGTTTTCTCTTATTCAGAGATTTTCAATTGGTTGATTGTTTTCTTAACTCTACATTTATTTGCATAATGACCGAATTTACCACATTTGTAGCAATTCCCTTTTTGTTCTTAGTTTTTAGAGTGGAATTTTTCTGAGAGTTTCCTCTTCCACTTGTTGAACTTGGGTTTCTCGTAAAATCTATTTGTTTCAAAACTCCTATTTTTGAATTTGTTATATTTGAGGTGTCTCCTACTGGAGTACCTATTTGGGTACCTATTGTAGGCTTCTGATTTTTTTTCTTTTTGTTAGATGGAGCAATAGGAGGTAATCCATATTGTTCACAAAATGTTCCTAATTCGTATTTGGCTACTAACTTGTTTTTTAATTTTCAGATCAATACACATTTTCAATCCTTCTTTCTGGATAATATTAATAGTTCATTCAATTCTAATCAAACAATCAATTTCTTCTGGATCTCCTGAACAAATTGTTCTTTTCCATTCAGGAGTATGGAATCCATCACAAAGTAATTATAGTACTATTAAGAAAGAAATATTATCTATAGTATTATGCATTAGCAAATTTCAAGATGATTTATTAAATCAAAAGTTTTTAGTCAGAATCGATTAGAAATTTGCAAAACATGTTTTACAAAAAGATGTTCAAAATATTGCATCAAAATAGATTTTTGCATGATGGGAAGCTATATTAAGTATTTTTTATTTTGAAATCGAATACATGAAAGGTAGTCAAAATTGCATCTCTGATTCAACTCTAACATACCAATCATCTTCATTCCAACCAGTCAGTTATACCAAAACATTACCATACATCAAGAAAAATCCCAGTGAATATCTTTTCATTATCCCAATTTCCATTATCATCCTATAGCATCACATAAAACACTGAACTACTATCAAGTCATCCTCAGTGAAACCGAGTCCATTTCTATCAAACCTCTCTACAGCAAAATCCATGAAAACAAAATCTTCTACCATTTTCTTTACATTTGAAGGTTTTTCACCGAATCAGATTGGGGAATCCCCCTTTACAAAACCAAACTTCTTCATACCCAATATGTCCACATTCCCAATAACCATTACAATTACTTTGATTACATTGATGCATGGATTAACATCTTTCCTCATCAGACAAAAGATTTTAGTCATTCATGGTTCATTAATTTTGACAAGAGTTTCAGATTGAATTTTCCTGCATGGTTCCTAAAATGGTGGTCAATTAACGGCTCAACAGCCAGTCTCCTACCAAAAGAACTTATGCAAGTCCTCTCCACCAATTTCCAGCAGAAATTTGATAGAAATTGATTCAACTACAGAAATACACTTCTCCCAATATTATGGCCAAGTACAAAGTCCCATGAATTATGAAGTTGAAATAGGTGAAGTCTACATAATCAGATCAGTCAAGTGGTGGTATAAATTCAACCATCAAAAGGCCATCAATCAGGCACAACCAACCCATTACTCCACCTCTGGTCATTCCGGCACAACCAGCACAGCCATCACTGCCAGTCATCTCAAAACAGTCATTATCGAATATTAGTCAATCTTCATCCCTCAAATGAACAGTCAAGTATTCCAAATCATCAGGTTCAAAAAAGAATAAAGCCACTTAGCTCAAAAATTTAGCACAACAATTACTTGTAGAAGCAGTGATGATCCACATTGGAAGAAAAAGCTTCAGACTCCGAATCTTCAGATGCGTCCTCACAGCAATCAACCAAGTCAATAAGTCAAAAAACACAGTCAGCCAAGTAGGTCGACTACCAGGATTCGCAATACCCATTTGCATAAGGCCATGTGAACACAGTCAATTTCCATGTGAAAATTCAGTCATCTTTCCTAAGTCACCATGTGAAGCGTTCAGACATTATTCATACCAATAATTCCGACAAAGCATTGAATTATTCATTCAACCATGTTCCCACCAATGATTCTAACAAAGTTTGGAGTCATTCAATCATCCTTATTATACAGTAAAAGCAGCAATTATTCCAACAAATTTCATTGTGCATTAATAGTGAAAGCAAATCATCATTCATCAATAGTAAAAGCAAATCTTCCAAGACCTTTTTCCAAGTATATAAGAAATTGACTCCGGAGGAAGAAAGTTTCAAGTTTGGAATTTCCACAATTTCTCAGTAAAAACTTTCTTTGAGTTCACACTATACCCAAAGAAATCAAAATTGTAAACACTTTTAATTTTCAAATGTCAATGATGCATGCGTGCACCAATATCTTTTTCATTAGTCATTTTCTTATTTGTTGACTCAATCGTAAGTAAATTAATTGTAAGTCCTAGTGTAAGATTTGCAATAAAACTTATTTTCAATTTATATTTGCATCATTACTTTGAATTCATTATTTTCATTACGAGAAATATTTTCATAACAACTAATTTTGAATGGCATAAAATTCTTACACACAGTCAATTCATCGAATACCTCAAGTTCAAGATAAACACAGATCAATCATTTGTACAATTCTTTTTATTCATTTATAACAGCTAGTTTCATGGCATCTTTAATCCTTGTTATCCTCCACATCAAGTTCCCAATTATTTAATTAACAATTCATTTAATTCTAATCATCATTGCGCTTGGTTCAATTGCCTTCATCGATATTATATAGTTATGGACCAGTTTTCTTCTTCGATGAACCGAATGGTTTAGTACAAGTTTGATAAGAATTAAACGGCGAGACTGCAAACAAATGCAAGTTGTGGGCCAAAATGGTAAGACAACAGCTAAAGAGTGATGGTGCTGACCATGATTCTCACGCAAGTTCTAACTTCCAAAACTCAACCTGCCTCTGCCATTGTTTTCAATACACATAATCTTTATCGTAGGCTTCCACATGACAGCAAATTTCTAGAGACCAAAATTATTCATACACATAAATAATGGCATCGTTGATTCAACATCATGGCATCAATAATTCAAAATCAACAAAGGAATCTGGGTTTATACCTTTCCAATTTTAGACTCAAAATCAAAATCAATGGGTACTGCCGCATAGTTTCTTCTGTCGTTGGTCGAGTTACCCTCTGTCTCCAATTCCTTTTCAGAATCAATAAAGGGATCTGGGTTTATACCCTTCGATTGCAAGATCTCTACACAGATAACAACTTGCATGAGACACTGTCCTTCAATTTTTCCTTAATCTAAACGTTGAAAACGAAATCAAAGAAGGATGAGACTGAAATTTACCTTTGGGGTGTCGGGTCCAAGAGAAATTTGAGGGCGGTGAGTGCAAAGATTATGTGGCATGTGAGAAAGTTTGAAGGACAAAGAGATTTTTAAAAAACTTAAGAGAAGTGGTGGACGCTATGTGTTGTTCTGGTATGCTATAAACCGGTTGGTTCGGGGGCCAATGAAACTAAAGGTTTGGAACCGCCCCCGTTCATTCGCTACTAAAATCGAACCCGTCCCGAACCGACTGTACCCGGCCCACCCCATGAGTCCTAGACCCATTTGCCCACCCCTAGCTTACGTATCCTTTTTATATATATATAGGCAACTCTTTCTACATATTGCACATTTATTTTGACCACCTCAAGCAAGACATACAAATGTTACAGAAAATTATTCTAAGCACATAAACTTATCGTGATCATACAAATAAATGTGTAGTCAAGAGTAAATATAACAAGTTAGGAGTCGATGATATAATCCTCAAAATTGATTTGGCCATTTTTTGGACACTCGTGAAATTATAGTTGTGTCTATCACCCTCAATGAGATGGGCAAATTAAAGCTGTAAATACGACCTTGGGCAGCTTGCTTGGAAGTTTGTGGGCAAAAAGGCCAAAACCAAGCCCTCCTTTATGGTTACTTTGGAAATTAAAAACACTAAATGGCACCTTAACTGAAAAATCAAATAAACAATTTAAACTTCAGAATTTAGAAAAATATTAAAACACAAACTACACGAAAAGTTTTTACCAGTCAAATTTCTAATTTGTCTGCAAAGAGAAATGCCCTATCAGAATTCAGAAGCCAATGTAAGTCAAGTATATACAAATGCTTGTGCCTTTTAAGCCTTGATCACTTAAATGCCAACATTGCCAATTGCAGCACAGTTGCAAATCAAAATCAACTTAAATTAATCTGATGCAAACCCTCCGGCAGGGGTAGAGATATTACAAAACTTCTTTTCCTTTTTCCACATTTCTGCTTTTCTTTTTCTCTCAAAGCTTCTTTTGCATGTCTGGTGGAAGAAAGGTGAGGGATGGAACCAATTAAAATGCTCACACAAAAGACCAGTTTATGAAGGAGAAGGCCAGGCAATGGACACAGTTTTCTTCTGCAGCAAGTACTTTCCATGCAATCGCTTGTTCGTACGACACGTGGCGAGCCATCGTCGACATGCAAATGCCGGCTGGCAAGTACGCAAAACCCTGACGAGGAAGAAAGGATAAAAGATGAATTAGGCTACAATGAGAGACAGCATATGGCTTTACACGTAACCGAGGGAGGGAAGAAAGTTCTAACATCTCATGTACCTGGTTCATTAGTTTAGAAAAGTCTGCGCACAACGTCTTGCGTCCGGCCTCATCAAAAATCTTATCCAATGAGATGTCCTGAAGGGCGACTAATGTTGTTTCCAGCATGTCAAGCCCTGCCTGGTTTGCAAACGTGAAAACCGGCATTGACTGCAAAACGAACAAATTGCGCAGATTACGATCTCCACAAATTATTAATCAGACACCTACTCGGAATCGATATAAAGATTTAGCATGTGTCAGTGATGTTGCAATGTACCCTTAATGAACAACACAAAATAGCATCTTGGTGATGCCATAAATGTTTCAACATCGAGTCACCACCAAAGGAATCAGGTCTCAGCAGTTCTCCCCCAACATGATAACTGTAGGTGAGAAAGAAAAGGATTGAGAAATAGAAATTATGCGCAAATATGGTACGTTTTTTCCAACAGATGAATCATGCATGCAATCTAGAGTATTCAACAAAGAACTTGCCTGTAACTCTGGCAGATCCAGTGAGCCAGTGTATCAGCTTCTGGAGAGCTGGGAGATAGTTTTGGTACCACAGACGGACTCAATCCAGATGGAGATATAGCCATTGCAACTCTCTGCACGGATGAAATTACGCTACGAACATACTGCCGTGCCATGTTTGCCACATTCTCTTGTAGATTATTATCAAGCGGAAACTGGAAGGCGATCGTCAATACTGATCGAGTATTGTGAAATGTAGTTAGATCTCCAGCTGCATTGCTCGTTGTTGAGCCCACTTCAAGACTCGATGCCAGATCTAATGTTCGATGCGTATTCAAAGTAGCCCTTGAATCACTCTGTATTCATAATTGCAAGACATTAGCATGTTGGGGGAGCCCAAAAAACACATTAAGATGCAGTCCAGTATGGCCCGAAGGCTATATGACATTATTGATGCATATGTCCATTTGGTTGAATTAACAGGTAAAACCCACGTGAAGCACAAAAAAAACTCAACTGTTTTTGAATCCAATGGGATAATACGGAAACCAGAGGGAAGCAAGGGAGCATCATCTGGAAACATCTCATCAATTGGGGCAAAAACAAGCTCAGAACAGGCTCCGGCAGCATTCTCATCAACTCCACTACATATCTGCCAATAGAAACAAGACATTTTTTTCGTATGATCAGTACACAATAGTACCCCAACAGATAGTAGCAAGGGCGGCAGTAGCTGAACAAGCAGCAGGAAAAATCACCTGCAAGAGATGAATATCCCTTGATGCAAAAGCATCCTCTTGAGTGAGAGAATGACCTTCAAGTCGAACAACTTCAAGCAACTGGAATCAAAATTAGAAGTTAGAAAAAAAGAAAGAAAACGGGGATGAGAAGCACTTTGTAGAATATACTTGCACTCTAACGTGACAGAAAGTGGTTGCAATTATCATCCTGTTGATGTAATGTTTCACAACAAAGGTTCAGATGTTACTCGCAAAAGTAAAATAAAAATATGAACCAATTGAATTAGCATACCTCCTCTTGTTCAATTGTGTGACCAAGCGGCATGATAATTTGTCCCCCAGTAAACCTTGTTGGCCTCATCCCAGGATAAGCATACGAACCAGCTTTCAAAGATGCAGCAGAGTAGGCATCAACATTGAAATCTGCCCACTCTGAACGGTGCTCCCTCAAGAAACGAACGAGAACAGCTGGGGGAACATTCTGGAGTTGAAAAAGATACGCATGCCAAGTTCTCATTAGCTAAAATTTACGGTTTAGACAACATGATGGAGAAAGCATATAAGCTCTTAGCCATTCAAAACTAACACTGATTTCCACTAATCCAATTAGACAGCAATATTAAGAGATGCAGACGGCACAAAATCATTGTAAATGCAGCCCTCTGGATAAAGCTCAATGCCTAATCTCAGAACAACAAAGCAATAAAGAAGAATCATGGACATTCTACTATTTTCCCAACACAGAAAAGGCTACTCAAACTCTACAAAATAGGTCCGGGACTCGGGACAAACATAAACATCTTAGGTATCAAGAAACATAAATTGAGTTCAAAAGACATATCCTCATTCATCATGCAAGAAGATTAGATAACATAGCAAATATGCTCATTCATGATCCAAGAAGAGTAGGTAACAAAGGCATCTTAGATCATAACACAGAAACTATCATTTTTAGAGTTGATGGTCGTCAGATTCCAGACTTACTTGTAGTAACATGGAAGCCTTTGCACAAAGAATGCCTCCGAGTAATGCAAGGGAATTGGCATGGTTCGAAGTAGAAGTTAAATTCTTGGTTGAATTAACTGTAATTATAACATCTTCAGCACCATCACAGTTGACCAATGACCATCCATCGTCATTGAATCCATTGACAGCATCATTGAAGCCTCTACAAGAAGACATCAATAAATTTTATTTACAAAACTGATATAGAAAGATGGTGGTTATCAACACTGAAAAAGGTGACAAAGCAATTATACAAACAGATGTATCAAATGAGCAAATGATTAATAAGTGAAGTATAATACCCCACCTGATCAATCTTTGGCTAAAGGTTCGCAGAACAGCTGGCTGCCTGCCCAAACTGTATACCACTTCACCACTCGTTTCCTGAGCTATTTGCCTGATATACCGTAACGCCTTCATAAAAGAAGTTTAGTTAGTACTTCTATTCTCAAAATATCTAATGCATTTTGTACGATGGGGAGGGGAGGGTTTATTAGTTTATCTTTCCGTTCTACAGTCAACGTGCTATTAACACTAGCACACCGCAGTATTCTTTGAGAATAAATGGAATTTACCTTAAGAAATTCTACTTTCCAGAGTGCCTTTGGTTCATATCAAAGGGCTTAAAACTTAATGTCTAAAGACATAAAGGAAATTGATCACATAATGAGAGCTCAGAAAATTCACTTTTTATACAGAAATCAGAATATCAAGCACTTTTACATTAACTGTACAGAAGAAAGTATCAAGTCAATGACTCAATCATTAACTACTCACCGCAATAGTCATTCTTTGTGCTACCACTTTGGACGATTCATAAAGCGGTCGCAGCACCTCTGGCACACTCCATGCCTGAAATAAGATGCGAAACAATTGAGTTTTTCTAACTAAGAGACTTACGAGAGTAAGAATCTGAAATTCATACCTCAAGATTCAGGTGGTCAACAATATGAATGATTGATCCTCCACCCTCACATGGTCGAATCAGATAACCACTAGGAAGCATCGCGCCTCTAACAAACTGTGAAGCAGAAGCTGGATTTGGGCCAGCGCCAGAACCGGAAAGAGATCTTTCACACACCTTATAACATAGATAACAAAATATTTTTAGAGCACATTAGGTATCCACTTACAGGAGTACAAAAAAAGAGAAGGAAGTCAAAGTTGTATTTGTCATAAACTGGTATGCACGAAGTATGACAACATAATATACACCAGAATGCTTACCACAAAACTGCCATTGTCTAGAGTTGTAGTGTATCTCAGGGTCCAAAAATCCCTTGCAGGAGCCAAAGTAGTTGGAGCGTATGTCTGGAACAATTAAATGTTAGTTATTCCTTTAAACAAAAACAGAAAGTAAAACATAATCAGGGAAAAAAATTCCAAGTTTCCAACAGTTTTTGTTCACCTGTGTATATATAAGTTCTATGGTTCCTCCATTTCCAGCAGGAAACATGGTAAAAACTTCAAGGCTCCGACAGTCCCGGAACCAAGATGGACGATCTTTAAGGATCTCTGCAATCTGTTGTACATGAATAATTAACTTCAAATTCAAATGCTTCATGTACCTTGTCACATGAAACTAAGGCGCATACAAATATGTAGCAAAAAAAATTCTAGCACTATCAAATGATGTACATTCTTACCTTCGTAGGCTCTAAACTTACGAGGCCACAGGCTCTTGCTGCCACTCCACTGC